GGTTACCAGAACAGGATTGGCTACTTTACTAATGAATGAAAATCCCTCCCTTGCATGGGAGCAGGCTTTAAAAGGCCACTGTCTGAATAAAGCTTTAGTTCTGCTCCTGAAACTGTGTGTCGTCCAGTTATTGGGATTGCTGCTGGGATACTGCTGTGTTATTTTGCCTGCTGGAAACCTTGCCTGTGGATTTACAATTTACTTGTTCCTGAGCCTCACTTGGATTATAAGCGGAGATAACCTGGGGAATATTGCATCTCTGCTACAGACATTACTCCTTCTGCAGCTCCCCCTTGTTTCAAATGTTATTACTGCTAGTGGAAGCATCCTGCCTGACTTTACAGTGCCTGTTATCTTTGCAGACACAGTTGGGAGAAGCATTGTTTTTTTCCACACTGAAGGACAGTCATTTTCTTCTTCTAAAATGGATGACCCACTCATCCTTTCCATCACTGTCCAAATGGAGCAATATGTTTTCTGTTACAGGGATCATGCTGAATGTCCAGAATGATCCTCACCAATGTTCTTGCACATGTTGGAGAAAATAGATTCCTCAAGTATAATCTCTCCGACTTGGCTTATTCTGAACTTCAGTTGAATACTTGAGCTGTCATCATCTGCAAGCTGTGATCCAGTTTGCCACTCTTCTCCCTTCAAAGTTGTTTCTAAGTTTGTAAAAACAATGTAAAATATGACTGATTTTTAAAACATTTCAAATTAAGGAAACACTATAGTATACAAACCTGTCCCTAGTTATGTACGGGTCACTCCCTCCCAGATTTTCCATACAAACTAATAAAAGAAAGGGTTTACTCCCCTTTTTACAACACTAGAACTCCTTCAGCGCTGCTCACCTATCCTCCTCCTACAGCAACATTGAGGAGGCATGAATTCCTCTAGCAATGGTCCAAGCCAATGCTCCTCATAGAACACATCCAATGCTTATTTTAGGGAAGCATTGAATGCAAAGCTATACTATGAGCTGCTATGTCACACAGCCAAGTTTTACTTTGTCAGTGCAGTAGGAATCTTCTCTTGTGGCTGTCAGTACGAGCAATTAAATTCATGTTTAACCCTTCAAGGTAAACATTGATCATTCTGCAAAACAATGGTATATCTTGAAGGGTTAAACATATAGGACCAAGTCACCAAAACCACTTAATTGAGATAAAGTTGGTGACTTTAGGGGTACTTTAAATGAGCACTGCTGCTCATGATGCTGCTCCTCCTTTAGTATAATAATTTGCACTGCTTCAGTGAATATTGTGTTCCCTATCCACTCCAAATTTGGGGCTACCTGACAGAACACATTTTTTTTGACACTGGAGGATAGTCACTGGTGCTACAGACTGGATGTGAGGAAAAGTTTTGTTCTCTTCAGTGTGGAAGGGATGAGTGGGTCCTAAATTGCCCACTCAAATGTTCATTTAATTTTTAGAAGCATAACATAGTGTTGTTAGCAGTTTAAACCAGGGTTGTTTATGAGGGAGGGGGAATTGAGTAGATTCTATCATGATTAAGGTGTTTTTAATGAATGTCATTTGGGAAAGAAGGCTTGAGTAAAGTAGAACTTTACTTAAGTAAATTGCAAATTAGAGATATAAAGAAACTAATGGCAGCCTAACAGGTACCTGATATGAAAAGATTACATTCAAGACTTGGTACACCATCTTCAAACACCATGTGGCACGGCATTACTATGAAATTCATTGTTGGATGAACATGGGCTTTTACCTTTTGTTTCCTCTTCTTTGAAATCCTATACTCATACCATATTATGGAAGAATTGACTCTGCTGGTCAATTTCTGCAGAAATATTAAATTTCAGCTATGCGTTGAAAGTTGCTAACCCTATTTGTAGTGAATCCATTTTTAATTGTGTTAGCAAGGTGTTTTGATTTAAGGTATAATAAATAATGTAATTTTTTTATTGGAGAGATTTCACCCTGCCTGGCTGAGTCTTGCTGTGCCTGCTGATAGGGCACTGTGTTTGGTGAAATATGGTAACTGATGCTACAGACTTGATGTGTGGGGCAGCTTTGCTCATATTAGGGTGGGAGGGTAGTAGACAGCCACTAGGGGAGGACTTAACCCTGCAAGGTAATTATTGCAGTTTATGAAAACTGCAATAATTACAGTTGCAGGGTTAAGGATAGTGGGAGTTGGCACCCAGACCACTCCAATGGGCAGAAGTGGTCTGGGTGCCTGGAGTGTCCCTTTAATAGGCTTAATACATTGTATAACTCGTTCTGATGCTTTGTGCTACAATGTAATGACATGACCCACCATTGTGACATGCTAAAAGAACTAAACTGGCTGTTGCTCGAATCCAGATGTACCCTTCATCTTTCCAGCCTTGTGTTTAAGAGCTTTTCTGGGAAGCTCACACCCTACCTGAGCAGAATGCTCTCCCTGGCTGTTCCCACCTCCTATAACCTCCGATCCAGTACCAGCACTTTATTTAGTCTACCTCAATACAAAAAGATATCAGCTCGATCCTCCTTTTCCTACAGAGCACCACAATTATGGAACAACCTCCCGCACACTTTCAAATCTTCCCCCAGTCTAAAATCTTTAAGAAATCCCTCTCTAAATATATCAAAACAAAATGCATCTGTCATGGTTGATTGTATATTTCTTACCTGTTCTACGTTAAATTTTGTATATATTGTGTATTATACATAAATAAATAAAATTCAGGATCATGGGTGCCCAGGGCTCATTTAAGCAAGGGGGAGAGAAGGCTAGCCCATTTGGCATGATCACACAGAAGAGCTACTGCAGCTGGATATATGATAGAAAGTTGTCAGAACACACCATGCATTGCAGTTTGCTTTGTATGGGGCTGGGCAGAGTAACCATGATGCCCTCTGTCCACCACCGAACGCACCTTCGCTGGGGCTGTGAGCATCAGATCTGGACCATGAAGCAATGGAAGAAGGTTGCCTGTTATAGTCAAATTTTCTTTTAGATCAAGTGGATGGCTGGGTGCTTGTGCATTGTTTACCCAGGGAAGAAATGGTAGAATGATGCACTATGAGAAGAAGGCAGGCCATCAGAGGCAGATTTCAATCTGATTGAGCATTTGTGGGATGTACGTGAACGACAAATCCAATACATGGATTCCCCACCTCACAACTTGCAGAATTTAAATGATCCAATGCTAATGTCTGGGTGCTATAATATTAAATAATTTTAAAAGTGTATCCATAAATATCAAATCATTTGGAAAGTGTATCCAATTATTAATATTAAAAGAAGGACATAGTCAGAAAAACATGTGTGTTCTTGAAAAGTCCTATAGACTATACTGATAGTGGTGGAATGCATAGACTGCGGCAGTAGTGGTTGCACATTTTTGGATTGTTTAGGTACTGTAGTATCCTACTTATTTTTCAGTGTGTATAGGAAGTGTGACTGATTGCTGGCCCTGTGAAAAATGGCTGATGATATACCTTAACTCTTTGGTTAAGAAAACCATGTACCAAAATATTGTATTCTGGATTAATACATCTGTTGGGCATTCCTCATACTTGATGCAAACTTTTAGATCATTAGTACTTACCTTCCCCTTTTCCCAGGTGGGTCTTAACATAATTAATTGAGTAGAGTGAGACTCTTTGATTTATGCTTTATAAAATTATATGGCCGTTTTCATTAAAATGAATTGTTTTTAATACACTATCTGTCATATCCAGGTTAATCAGAAATGATGGTGTGCACTTCAAATTCTGTTATGTACTTGAATGCTTAAGGGCTTTCTTAACTTCATTGGTGTCATTATCAGTCTTCAGGGCCATTCATTTTCAGCAGCTGACATGACAAAATCTGGTGCATTTTTTAAACACTCAATTCTACAACATTTGGTGGATATGAATGACAGATGGATTTTTTCTATAATCACAGTTGGCTTTGAGCTTAAAAGCCCAAAGGAGATTCAGCAAATTATGAGCTGAAAATTCAAAAAAGTACTTCAGCAAGTTACAGCTTTAGTAACATTTATATATTATTTGCAATGCTTAACACAGAATAAAATGTGTGCTATTGAGAATATTAGATTTAGCTTTTTCTCTAGGAAAAAAATATTTTCAATTCATTAAGCATTTACAGTTACTTGAATTTATCATTAAAATTAACAAGACAGAAATAAATATTTTCACAAAAAAACAAATAGCTATAAAAAACAAAATGGTAGAAATATAAAATTATAGGGTGCGCCAACAGGTAAGAGGTACAATATATGTAAATGGGACAATAGAAGTGGAGCAAAATATGCAGAGTCCTTAGATAACAATACAAGTGAAAAAAACAAAAACTAAATTCATTTTTAAACTCTTGCAGCATGTCAAGTCAGTTGTTATTTAGTTTATTTGTTACATTTGATTAATAATGGAATAGGCATACCTAAAAATAAAAAATGCTAAGGAAAATATGCAATAAAACTATTTCTTCAAAGGGGTCGAGTTGAAGTGAGCCGGATAGATGCAGTCTAGCTAAGCACCTGACATTGTGAGACTAAATCCCAATAATAAAATACATTAATTCTTGTGGGGCATGGTCTGGCGTTTGTCTGAGATGGATGCATGAGATGACATCTCCATGATAAAACCAGTGAAAAACAGCTTAAACACCTAAATAGTGACTTTCTATACCATCTGATTGAACTGAGGCCAAACTTAAAAAAAAAAAAAACCAAGATAAAAACATATCTGATGGCAGACCAACTGAGAAATCAGTGAACTCAAGAAGACACTCTAGTTTCCTCTTCATTAGATCACACTGATAAATTGGAAATTATGGATGGAATTGTTGATTCCCACAACTCTTTAGTGGATTGGCATACAACATTGGCTGATGAAATCACAAAACTCGAATGGAAATTAGGCGACATGGACAATAGTATGAGATGGAATAATGTCCTAATTAGAGGCATCCTGGACTCAATAATGAATAGCAGAAAAGAAATATCCAGGCACACCTGAGGTTTCTTCGTAAAGGTAGTCTTTTTATTTGGAACAAGAAAGTGGAGACAACGTTTAGGTTACCCTCTGAGCCTTATCAAGCCAAAACTTTGTCTACACTTTCTTGTTCCAAATAAAAAGACTACTCTGCAATTCAGAATAATGTTACACTCCTCCTTCTACTAAGAAAATATGGGAATCATATCTTGGTATAGTTCTTTCTGACAGGACTTGGGCTATTATTTTGGCTAACACCAAAGGGTTCACCAACTGCTTTAACCATGTTAAGCTCATATGAAAGATTTAATTTCAATGGAAATTAACACCAGCTATATTCTTGCATACATATTCAAAGACTTCTAAACTCTTCTGGAGCGAGGCAGTCAGATGGCACATACTGTACATGCATGTCTGGTAGAGATGACCCAAAATAATTCCTGTATGGAAATCTGTGTTTACTTACATACATCATGCCATCCATGTTTTCTATACCTTTTACTCCTAAATGTGCACTAATAGTAGCTTATCCATCTTGTTTAGTGCACACCAATGAAAACTGGCTCTGAAGTGGCACATAGCAAAAATATGGAAATCAGATAGGATCCACAGGTTTTTAGCTTTTTCAATCTATGTTTGGAGTTTTGAGAAATTTAATATACTTCTTATTTATTTCTGAACTCCACTAAACACATTGTGGTGACATGAAAACACATTCCACTAACGCCTTATTAGAAGACCAGGTAATATTAATCTAAAAGGAACATCTATGACATAATTAATGGTATTTGTGGCTCTATTTTCTCTCTAGTACCTTAGAGATTTTTGAAGCAGGTAAAACTTTACGCTGGATAGTTATTTTTTTTTCCTTTTCTGTGTGAGGCATACCGTCTCTACCACTATTTGGAAACGAGGAGAGTCTGCTTTGCTTAGATTATCCACACGTCTATTCCTCAATTTTTGTGTACTGCAAAAAGTGACATCTGAATACAAAGCTACTCTTCTTATTGTGTTGTTGATGCTATTGCAATCTGTTCTAATTTTCTTTCTTTTCTATTAATTAATGTTGAAATTCATTGTTAGCGAATCACATCTAAATGGATATTGTACCAGTCAAGTGCTGTAACACATAGTAGTATGTAGCTCATATTGACTCCCACAGTTTATTAAAAAAAATGTTTTATATTTTTTTATGTGGCTGCTGGCTAGCAGATGCTGGTTAGGCACCACACGGACAGCCCTCATGCTGTGTTGTAGTCCAATTCAGTTGATTTAACATTTTCTACATAATTTTAATTACTTTGAATAGAGCACACACATCCTCAATGAAATCAAAGGTACCAAAACAATCCTCACATCTCCAAGCAACACTTGAGCAGGGGAGAGTAAAAGGAACATCTCATTAGTGCCAGTATGAAGCAATATCTGCAGAGATACCAGAAGTCTGCATTACTGATGGAAGAAATAGAACAAGAAAAACCAAGGCAGGCAACAGGTCTACTTGTGCTATATCAGATTCTGTACTTGTCACCACCTAACATTACTACCACCACCCTTCTATATATACAGTGGGACCTAGGTTTACAAACGCCTCGGTTAACATAATTTTCTGTTTACAAATGAAAATCCATTAAAAATAATGCCTCAGTTTACAATTTTTTTCTCAATACAAAGCAAGTTTCCCCAAGATGCATGGCACCTGGAAGGTTTATAGCACTGCCCCTGCATCCTGGAGCCTGTAGGTAGCACATGGCGTTGAGTGTGGAGGTGTTTGAGCGGCTTTTGCATCGAATTTGGAGCCATTCTGGAAATAGTTTGCAGTTGTTTTGGGACTTTTTGGTGCATTTCTCAAGCTATGGGAAGGTAGGGAGCTGTGCTTCGTTGTTTGCATGCCTTTTATTGTGTGTTCTGCATTGTGGGTTGAATTGTTTTTTGGTACCAAAATTCAGCCAAGCCAAGCACCAACATGAACTAAATTTGTCTGTCCCAAAACCCATTTTTTTTAAAATAAATTGCTTTAGTGTTTTAGAAAAATCTAAATGTTTCACCCTGCACAAATTTTGTTCTCACCCTAAATATATTTTGCCTTTTCATTAGATTACTGAATAAAATTACTTATTTTGGCATTAACATTTCCAAAGGTCACACCTACTCCTTACCAAAGCAATCACAGGCCCTTTGGTAATCTATTTAGAATCATGTCTGAAGGTGTGGACAAACTCCCAGTTTTTTATATTTTTAAAATGAAAATTCTTCGCAAACTTCCATATGTCTTTCAGGATATATTTTTATATAGCATATTGATGTTTTTTTTTAAATTAATTGATGGGGTCACTGTCTTCATTTGGATGAACAGGATGGCTTGGGCTAACTCACAGCATTATTGATTTGTATTGTGGACTAGATGAGAGCACCACATTCTAATCTGTGAATTAGTGTGGAAAAATCACATAATAAGTGATCACTGCTGTGCATCCCCTGGATACATAGCAGAAACATCAATAGATTCTTAAACGTTATATACACCCAGTGCAAATAAACTGTACATATGTACAAATGGTAAATTGGCCATGTACTATGGTTGCCCTATAAATAATAACATGTTGATAATGTTCATATTTAATTTGTTAATCAACTAATGAACAATATTATTAATTCTAGCATTGCAATGCAGCTACAACAAAACATAAGTAAACAAACTGAACATGAATACAGTAATAATACAGTACACCAATTAAATACCTGGTACTAAAAACAATGCAAATAAAACTAAATCAAGACTGGATTTAATCATATCAACAAATAAGAATCTCAAGGATTACAATATATAAAAGATTAATATAGGTTGGCATAATTTAATATATTCATTGTGATGTTAAAAATAGATAGGAATATCTTTAACACTTCCAATTTTTGTTCTCTCTCACCAGGAGAGACACTATAGAAATGTTACTGTAATTGCTATGAAATATCACTTTAGAAAGATAGAATATACAACTTGAAAATGTCACATTAAAGGTTGACTGGAAATTTCTTTAAATATGATACTCCCATCATTTTCGTTTATATTAAGTTACTTATATTTTAGCAGGAAAGGTGTCTGAACAAATCCTAACTCTATGCATTCATTTTCCAAGCACAAAGAAAGATTACCAAAATGATACCTTAGCCAGAGAGAAAAGATGAGGTGAAGTAATTTAGGGCCTCTTGTTTCTACAGTGAAGGCCACATTTCATGCACTAATATATCAGATCCATATTTATCAGTAAAAAGGATTAGGGTTCTAAGTACTCTTTTGCCTATTGTGGTTGTGATTAACCTCTATTATTACAATGCTACCTCATATTAAAGGTACTTGTGCTCAGAGTTGTCACATCTGTCTTAGTGATAAGATTTAATTTAATTTTAAGAAATCAGTAGGAATAAAAAGGTGGCTTCATATGTAAAATAAATAAATGTTAAATATTTTTCAAGGGATATTTAAAACTCTATGTGAAAATTTAATTTTATTCAAATCCTTGTGGAAATCTTTGAATGTCAATACATTTTAAATATTTTACTTCTCTCATTAGGATTTCAGTTACATGAGGTGCAATGAGAATCACACTTTTGATAAAAAATATGAATGTTTTAATATCCAATGAATGTTCCTTTATTCCTTTTGGTATATATTTTTCCCAATGGCAGTACGAGAGTCTTTTAAATTACTTGAGGTTTCAAGAATATTTTGTTAAATGAAATAAACATTTTTTTCTTATCTGGGGCTTTTGTACATTCATTATTCACTTACATCCCATCCAGTTCTTAGACCAATAGAAATTTTATGAAACAGTTATGCATGAGTAACTCCTTCAATTAGATCCATTCTACACTGTCACAAAAATGTAGCTCCTAGTAGAGAAATTAAATTTAGTATCTTTAAAGTATGCTACTATAATGTTTAAAGATAGCACAAATAATCCAATATTATTATCAAGGTTAGCTATAAAACATATGCCATCTGCATTTTTTTTTAAAACGTGTTATAATGTTAAAATAAATTATTACCAGAGTAAACTTAATTTAGACCTTAAAATGATCCCATGAGACTATATAATACCACGTATATATTGATATTAAAAATAATTCCTTCAAAATAAGAGAAACAATCATCATTATTTTCACCAAACAAAAAAATGTGATGAGTTCAAAATTATTAGCCAAAATAGTAGGTGAAAAAAAGTCAACATATGAAGTCAACTATCTACTTGTTCAATCCTGCTTGTTCCACCCCAGATTACATGATTAGGTTTCAACATGTGTTTGAGACTGCAATGCAAATGTTAATCAAAAGTAGTCTTTTGCATGGCAATGCTAAAATAAATAATATTGTTAATTAATTATATAACAAATTAAATATGAACATTATTGACATGTTTTAAATTATTTCACTCAAGCATTTCCTAATGGTGAGATCAAGATACTAGTTATGTATATAATATAAACACTGATAAACCACAACATTATAACTACTGATCAGTTACAACATTATAACTACTGACAAGTGACATGATAGGTACCTGTCAAGGGGTGGGATATATCAGGCAGCAAGTGAACAGTCAGTTCTTGAATTTCATGTGTTGGAAGAAGGAAAAATGGACAAGCGACAATATAAGTGGCCTTGACAGGGGCCACATAGTGATGGCTAGACAACTGGGTGAGAACATCTCCAAAACAACATCAGGGTCATGGGTGCCCAATTTTCATTGATGACATGGGGCTAGGTACCATTTATTAACGAGTTTGTAGAAAGTTTCAACTATGTTTAAATAATGTATACATTGCATAGTCTTTAAAAGGCATAGCAAATATATAAAGTGCAGAATAGTGAAACAAAATAGTGAAAGTGCATTATAAAGTGCTAAACATAATGCAAAATATATGATTATATCACAAAATATTTTGTGTACTATCCAACCACTGTGCACTTTATGATAAGATCATAAAAAGAGCACTTACTCTATTATAACTTGAGGAAAGACTGTAAAATATACCTTTTAAGGAATCAGTAGTGCAGATCAATACATAAAATGAAAAAGAAAAAATATAGTGTAAATGTGTGATATGAATAGTAAGTGAATAAGAGAATCAGGCAA